ATATATATTGTGTCCATATCAGTTAAGTTTCCATATCAGTTAAGCTTCTGCGTGAATACCCTCTGTATATATATTGATTACAAGACAGCAATAAGAAACAACTTAGCTTGGCTTTTTATAATCTTGAGCCTAATACACCGCAGGCATGGGACAACTGATACCTACAGATCAATATGCAAACTACTTTCAAATTATATGTTTTACCTTGTAGAGATGCGGCCCACCATGATGGCCGGTGTATTGGACAATTGGAAAGATGAGTTTAAAAGAACATCTAAACAGACCAAGTCAATAGTACCCTGGAAGTTTTTCTCAAATGAGAGGAGTTTTGCTAAAAAGGTCTTGTTCGGGTCCCAGGAAGTAAAAGTAAGAATAGAAGAAGAAGAAGATGATGAAGAAATGAAGTTATTATCTGAAGCAGTTGAGGTTGCCCGTGGGCTCGAACGGGAGGATGGTTATCCATGGGAGGGAATTGGCAAAGTTTGGGTACAATTGATGTGCTATGCTGCTACTAAATGCAGGCCGAATGTCCATGCAGATCAACTAAGCAAGGGTGGAGAACTTCTCACGTTCGTTTGGTTGTTGATGAGTCATTTTGGTTTTGGAACTAAATACAGAAAGTTGAGAGAATAGTTCAAAAAAGAACCTGAAAGAAGACGGGGAAGAATAAGGATCATTTATGTATGTTTTGTACTTATATCTGTAACTGGGTTCTCTGTTGTCTTAAATTGTTTATTGTATTATGTTAAATTAATTTTGTACTAAATTTCTGTGTTTAAAATTGGTTGTTTTAAGTTTAATTTAGTTTGAATTTTTTAAATTTATTTTAAATTACATAATGAGATCACATTCTCCTATCCCATACAATTTAATTTAATTGCATGACCCATATTGGTTGTTTTAATTTAATTTAGTTTGAATTGAATTTATTCTATATATTTTGTTATCCATTGGCACTGGGATGGTTTAGAATTTTTTTTTAGCAACTGTACCCACTTAACTGGCTGAAAGTAATTTATTTATTTTATAATAAGATATATACTTTTTTTTTAATTCACTTAATTTATACATCATATTATTTGAATTTATAATTTTTTATTTTTAATAAAAAAATTACTACTAAATTAATTGAGCGGTTGATAATCAGTTGGATGGGGTTGGTTGCTAACTAAGAAAGTTTGATTATTGTAAAGCATATTCTCATTTTTTTTCTTTAAGAACTTATTAAAACACCAGTCGAGAAAAGTACCGAAAGGTGGAGTGGTTAATTTGTTTAAAAAACGCATATTCTCATTGCTTTGTTTGAAAACTTATGCCATGGAGAGACACATCTTTATTTATTTTATTTATTTACTTTCTTATTCATCAGCGACACATCTGTTGACGAAGGATGAGCCCCTTTCGATCCTCTTTATTAATAGTTATTTTTTAACAGTTCTATATCGTACAACAAAACTACTTTCTCTTCCCAAGTTGAAGGTAGATGGTGCCTGGTGGTGCCAGGGACTGACGGCCAATCGTTAAAGTTTAGCTCCCGACCTCTAACCGCCAGAGGCCAGGCTAGACTCAAGGGCCAAGGCCCCAATTGTAATATGGGTTCATGGCCTCTGGTTAATTTTATTTTAAATAGCCCCACTCAATTTGGGCTTGTCTTGCACCTTTAAGATTCTACCCGAAACTTTATGATTCAAATAACAGCCCTTTTTTTTAATTAATTTATTTTATATGATAATCTTATAATTATTACAATGTCATGTAAGTTGTTAAGTTTATAATTATAATATATTATTAAATAAATAGATATATAAAATATTATTAATAAATTTTTAAATAAAAAAATAATTATATAATAACACATTATAATAAAAGTTTATGATATCATATAAAATTATAATTATATTATTTTCGTATTTTATACTGAAGAGAGGAAATTCAAACTCATCTATAAAACATGTTCCTTGCATATTGAATTACACAGCTACTAGCTCAAGTGCAATTTTTCTTTTTTTTGAGCTACATTCATTTTGGAAAACTTTGCATCTATTCTAAAACATCTCATCAAGATCTCAATGAATCTTTACCAATTACTATTATAGCAAATTATCATTGCTTTGCAACCGCCACTTGAAGTAAGTAGTCAAATCCCATGAAGAAGAAACTAGGCGTGAGGTTGAAGCTCCAACTCAAACACTTGAAATCGGCAAAAACCCTTCTTAAGCCCCTTAACTTTTTTGACAGCAAGTGACAAGCACCTAAACTAAAAAGGTGGTAAATAAGCCCTCTAACCTCACAGTGGGTGCAAATCAACCCCTTTGTTCGCTTACTTCATGACTCCGTTTGTTATTGACTTGCATGGCATTACACTTGCACGTTTTCACATGTTTTTTTTTTTTTTTGCCTTCATTTGTTTTTAGTAATAATACATTTTTTAATTAATTAATTTTTTAAATTAATTAATTAATTAATTAATATTATATAACATACATATCTTTAGGTTTTTTAATAAATAATGATATATTTTTTATTTTAATTAATAATACATTTTACTTTAATAATCATTATAAATTAATTCTTAAATTTAATTAAATCACCTAATTAATAAAAAAAATTTAACATGCTCCTTATTTTTCTCATTAATTTCTCTCTTCATTCAAATTTAGTAGATCTAGTTTTTTATTTGGTGCTTTTAAATTTAATTATCCACTTTTTATTTTTAGAATGTTATTTAATGTATTTATTCTTATTTTACCCTCATCTTAAAAAGATAATTATAACATATATTAAATAAAAAGCCTTATTTAAATAGCATTTAATTAGAGATAAATATAAAAGTTTATCAATAAATTATTCATCTCTATTTTATTAGACAAAAAACTAGGCTTACTAAAAATGAATAGATGAAGTATTATAAAAGGACTTTTCTAACCTCAACTCCTAGAGTATATGTTAAAAGTATGATAAATATATTTTTTATTATAAATTATATTAAAAGAATAAATATTGACCTTCCATTTATTAACTATTTAATTAAATTCATCAACATGACAATGACACTAAAATTAATGTTAGCTTTAACATTTTTCAATATAAATTAATGACAAAAATGTATCTTTTAGAGTACAAATCTAACATTTTAAATATCAAGATTCTTTTTAAAATTATTTAAGGGTGTATCTAACATGTGACCTTAGAGCACAAGTTAAAAACCTTAAAAGAATAAAAAGTAATATTTAATTTGTGAACCACCTAATTAAATGTATTAATGTGACAATGATACTAAAATTAATATCCACTTTAATAAATTTTTATTATAAAAAAGTGCATTTATTACATCTTTAGGGCACAAGACAGAAAATTTCATTATTTAAATATTTTTAATAAATATTTTTTTTGTTGATTCACTAAAAGTACTTTAATATTTTCATTTTTATTTCTGACATTTTAATTGTCTATTAAATAATTTTAAAATGCAATTAAAATATCAAAGTGATAATAAAAAGATTAAAGTGCTTTTAGTAAATCAACAAAAAAATGCTTATTAAAGGTATTTAAATAATTTTACATGAAATCTTAACATCTAAAATGCAAAAATATTTTGATTTTTCCTCTTAGGTACACTTTTTTTTACATTTGATAATGTAAAAAAGAATAATCATCATTTTTCCTAAATTCCTTTTAACCCAATTCAAAATTCGAATTTGAGATTCTTAGATACACCTTTTTGTGATTATTTATATAAAACAATGTAAAACCTGATATTAATTTTAGTACCATTGTCATGTTGATGACTTTAATTAAATAATTAATAAATTAAAGGTCAATATTTATTTTTCTAATATAAATTTATGACAAAAAGTGTATTTATTATAATTTTAACATGTACCATAAGAGTTGAAGTTAGAAAATTCTTTTCATAATAATTAATAAAAAAAAAAGAAATATGTCAAAAGATTCTTTATTAATTAGGTAGTTTAATTAAATTTAAGAAGTAATTTAATGAATTATTGAAGTAAAATGTATTATTAATTAAAATAAAAAAATATATCATTATTTTATTAAAAAAATACCTAAGTATATGCATATCATATAATATTAATTAATTAATTTTTAAAAAATTAATTAATTAAAAAATATATTATTACTAAAAATAAATTAAGTAAAGACAAAAAAAAAAAGAAAAAGAAAAAGTAAAGGCATGCAAGTGGAATGCCTAGCAAGCCAACGACAAACAGCATCACAAAATCAATTAGTGGAGGGGTAAATTTGCATCCAACGTGAGGTTGGAGGGCTTATTCGCCATCTTTTTAGTTCAGGGGTTTTTTACTTACTGTTTAAAAAGTTGAGGGGTTTCAGAAGGGTTTTTGCCCTTAAAATCACATCCCCTCAACCTGTCAAAATGTCAAAATTGCACACGTTATATATATATATATATATATATCTCAATGCTTTATCGTTTGAATAAAGACATGCATTCAATAAAAAATCATACTCTAATTTAAAACAATAAAAATTAAAATTTTTCTAAAAGAATTAACTAATATTATAAAATATATATTGTTATATATATTAGGTATTTTTTAATAATATATATTATTTGTATTACATAATATTCTATAATATATTATATATATGCATCACTTTTAAGAACATGCATGTGGGTATGATTTTTAATGCATAAAACACGAAGCAATGTCGGAAACAAGAAAGAAAGAGACAAAAAAAAAAAAAATCTCATATGATACGTGGGACTCAATTTTTAATTTTGAATAATAATACACGGGACGAAATAAGAAGATGAAATCATGAGCCGAATCTGAATTGACACCCAATTTTTAATATTTTGCTGAAGTGACATGCCAACTCAAATTCGGCTCATGATTTCATTTTCTTATTTCGTTCCATGTATCATTATTCATTAATTCAGCATGGGTTGGTTTTGTGGTGGAATCCAATGCCACCTCATTAATCACAAACTAGTGTCCTTGGAAATAGCAGCCCCCTAACTCAAAGTCTCGGTTTACCAAACCATCCTTTAACTTTCAAATTATTAAACAAGTCCCCTCTAAGGACTCTTATTTAATATGTAAACAATTAAGGATATCTCAATACATATTGAGCTAAGTGTTCATGATAAATACAACAATTAGGTATTGGGAGCCTCTAAATATTAGTATACATTGGGGTATTAATAGAACTATATAATAACATAGAAAGATTAGTTTGGAGTTTACTGTTGTTATTGATAATTACATTTATTTTATTATTCAATCCTAGCATGGGAGATCAAAGGACTTGGCAATATAGTGTCTCTTAACACAACAATGCTCTATCCAAACTCAAGTGGCCTTCTAAGCAATAGACAAATGAAAGGTATTCATCTCCATGGCAAGTGCAATGCTCGAACCATCAAATTTTACTTTGGTAGCCTAGCCATCATCGAGTACTTTTGAAGTCAACTTCCTCTTCTCTTTCTTGTAAGCCCCATATTTTTAATTCCTTGGCCTATGTCCTTATTTGCATAATTTAGAAGTATGAGTCCTTTTATGAAGATGAATTATTAGTAGGATTTCAATTAGAATTATGATTTCATGACTCTATTTGTAATATTATGTATTTATGGAGGACATAGAGGTAATTAAAGAAAGTTAAGGAGAAGTATCTTGTCTTGGTCAAATGTAGTGGATTGGACTTAGATGATTAAATAAGAAGTTTTTGTACTTAAGTGGAGGACTTAGCATAGTTATTAATTAAGTACCTTTGCTTTGGAATTATAATTAATT